ACTAGCTTAGTGGCCATGAAAGTAAAAAGGAGGAGCTGAAGGACCAGCGGTTACAGGGGTATGCACATGTGCCGCTCACAGAAGCCTTTTTTCCTTAGGAAGCAGAATAAGTAACTTTTTGATGTGCTGTTTCTGAAGAACTATGTATAATTATGGTTTATATTTACCCCAAGAATAAATTGATGCAGTGAATTTTGTTGATGTTGCTCTGCATTTCAAATTTTCATTTGAAAGCAAGGCCACTGTTGTAATGCATTCAGCAGTGGCAGTGTCCTCTGCACACTGGTGTTACAGGCTGTGCAGCCGTCAGGCAGGGGAATTGGGACCACTTGCATCTGATCCCTTCTGATACCAGACTGAAGACCAGAATTTCATAATTCATTGTTAGAGCAGTTATTTGAAGTCTTCTATGGTTCACAATGAAGCCTTACCACATGCATTTGACAGAACAGAATACAAATAAAGAAAGATTGACATAGTAAAAGGAAAATTTTCCAGTACTCTTAAGGTAGAGTATCTGGTGTGCTGATTTTACAGGAAGGGTGATAGAATATTACTAATAAGACTTGTATGGGAAGCAACAAGCAGAAGCTATTTTAATTTTTTATCTATCTAAATGATAATGGGCAATTAGTGTTATCTTGCTGTTCTTAAACTGGATTTTTATAATGTTTATTCCAAGAAAGAAAGGAAGAAAGAAGCAAAAAACAAATGAATGAAACTGTTATTGCATTGTAAATATCTGTTTAAATAAACTGTTGCTTGTTTCAGTGACCAGCAAAGTTATTAAAATCAAGATGAGTCACATACGCTTCAGAACTTAAAAGTATGAAGAGAAGCATGCACACAGACTGTGTACATTCACTTGCGTTAATGGATAAACAAAACACAGAAGACATTAATTACTTTGAAAATGTTATGCTAGTCTTGTGTTTCTGTGGCTAAAGTTACCATGAAGTTCTTTCTCTGCCTCCTGAATACCTGGACACTTCATCAGTGGCACTTGTGCACAGAAACATTCATGACTACCTTTCCTGAAAGCAGTATGCAAGTTTTGTGTAGCAAGCTGGTGTTTGTTGGTTATGGAAATGTTTAGGTTTAGAAGCTACTTAACTATCTGTCTCTGTCTTCAAAATGGCTTTTATAGCCCTACCACCTAATAGCTAGCTTTATAGTATGCAGGTTTCCAAGACACTGAATGCCACCTGACACAAAACAAAGGTTAATTATGTTTGAAGAATAGCTGTGTTTTGCTGTGTGTAAGCCAGAGTGCACGGAGACAAATGACATTATTTGCAAGAAGGTTTGTAGATCCTGTCAGAGTTTTGGAGAAGCCTTTTTGGTTATTTTCTACCACAACGCAATGTTCTGTTGTGCAAAATCTAGATAGGACTGGTTTCTTCCTCATAGTGGGATTTATATAAAGATCCTGATTACTGTGTTGTTCCAGAAGGCCATGGGAGTCCAAATGAGGATCTGCCAGAGCCGGATGAAAACCTAACTGAGGAAAGGAAAAGTACATCAGTAGCATTACTAGAGAGCGTAGGAAAGCAAGTTTTCTGTTCTGAATGGGGCTGGAAAAAGGGACCGACTTACCAAACCTTAAATGCAGTCAACAGGAAATCTGCTATTCCTGTCATGTCTACAAATAGATCTCTTAAGGGATTTCACCTTCCCTTTACATATTGTGCTCCTCAGCATATGTAGATGGCTAAACATTGATAAATGCTTTCATTTTAAGTTAAACTTTTATTTCACCCTAACAGCTGACATTACATTACATTACAGGCTGTAAATGTTATGTGTTTTCCTCTCGGATGTGGTTTAAAATTCTTTGAAATATGTTTCTGAAGTGTTTGTTTTAATAGCTTTGAGGACTCTGAGCTGATGAATTTTTTGTGAGTTACTCATGGCCATCCCTTGCCTTTCTGTTCAGGTTAGAGGCTTTTGTGAGTCCTCTTTGAGAAGGTAAATACAACACAGTGCCTTGTAACTGGAGAAATGAGAATGGTCTCAGTTCACTCCAAGAAGTAGGCTGGAGATGTAGCCACTTTTGGAAAAATACAATTAGTTCTACATCTCTACAGTGCACATGCTATGGTCTTGATTACTGACTTTTACAAGAGGGAAAATAAATACCTGCTTTCTGCTTGTGAGTTGGCTAATAACCTCTTTCCAGTATTGCTGTTAATATATGGAGTGAAGGGACTTCACTCAGAGCTGCTTGATAAAATATCTTGCTACATGTTTCCCCTGAAGCAAGTTCACTGCTGTGCAAGCAGTATCGGCTAAAGGCCAGTTTAGATCACTTGAAATATGGACCGTCCTCTTCCTTTTCTAGACGCGTAAATGGCTTCGGCAAATGACTGTGGAATGAAAATACTGACAGAGCAGGGGAGTGGGGAGGGAAGGACACTCAAATAAAAAGGACTTGGTTGTGTGCTTCACCCTCAGATCTGTTTTGCAGGCAGCCCTTGCTTCTTACTTTCCATGTGCTGGACAGGCAAGGGTGTGCTGGGGTAAATGAAGACACTCAGCTGCTTCAGGACTTAGGGAAGCAGAAATGAGAATGAATCTGCTAAAATACCGTGATCAAAGAGGACGACTGTGTTGTGGTTTTGTTTGGTTAACAAGACAAGAATAGGGTACTTTGCCAAAAGGGAGTTGGATGAGCTCTTTGTGTGCAGTATTGGGTAGAACAGCTCACTGGTGCAGATTAGAAGTTTGATTTCATTGCTAATGTGGATTTAAGGTGTGATCACAAATCTGGTTGTCTGTCTGCATTTGCCATCTCCATTATCATAGACTGTGTGGCCAGATTCTTCCCCTTAAATTCATCTATTGATAGTACAGACTCTGTCTGGGAAATGTCTGTCTAGACTCTCCTTTTGGATAAAGGAGAGAAATAGCTCCTTCAGGAGTGTGATCTGTCTTATTCCGGTGTACTTTGGGCCTAAACAGACCAGAGGAATTGGACTCAAGAAGTTCCTCTTTCTCTCCATTGACTTAAAGAGAATGTGGAGAAGCAGTTCACATAAGGTTATTTGTGTTGTAAAAGTCTAATCTTAAGGAGATGACTCTGAATGTCTACAATTACGTAAGTGCGGTCCTGAAAACATATGGTTTCTATCACAAAAGTGTAATTGGGCATTATTTTGAAGGCACAGACTGATATAAGAGGTAACCTTGAGAATCCCTTGAGAAAACTGCATTGTCCGTCACCTGGATGGTTAAAAAAAAGCATGCGCGCACACACACACACATATAGATTAAAAAAAAATACATTCATTTTTACTTACTAAAACTGTAATTTAAAGAGAGAGAGAGATATCATTGCCAGAATGTGGCTTTCCTATTTAGAAATTCTTTTTCATTACCTGTAAGAAATGGCATACTGTTAACTGATACAGAGAACAGACATCAATTTGAAAACAATACATTTTTTGCAAATGTGTTAAGACAGTATCTGTTCAGGTGACAGGTTTTGAAAGCACTGGAGTGCAAAAATGTATTTTTAACTAATTATTTAGATAAATGTAAATTCTCCTGGAAGAACTGTGGTTCAGAGAGGCTTTTCTATGTTACAGAATGGAACTGTGAGGCTGTGCACTGGCTGAAATTATACAGATATATCATGCTTTGATGCGTGTTCAGTTTTTCCCCTTTAAAAAGCTATTTTATTGAAGTTAAATTATTGTAGGGATATGAAAAGGTGCAGTTTGCTCTGAATTTATCCTTGGAGGGCCAGCAGATCATTGCTTTTTCTCTGAAATTAGATAGAAGGATCCAGATGGCAGATTTCAAGCCCATCAGGTGTTTAAAATATGCCCCTCAGCTAAAAAGAAGTATTATAGTTAAATCTGTCATGGCCTTTTTATTGCTTTGTGGTACACTTGACAACTGCAGCCGTGGAAGAGAGAAGCTACAAGTAACCCAGTCAGCCTGAAGTGGAGTAGGTCAGTGGCTGGTTTCTTTGGCTGCCCCAGGGAGTTTGATAGACGTACAGACCTGGTTCATGGAATCATTAAATCCATCATGGTGTAAGCTCCCATGGAGGCAGTGAATTTGTTCCCATAGTTTCTTCCGGGTGCTACAGTAGGCATTAGAGAAGTAATGTAAGTGAAATGTGGAGGGGAGAAAAAAAGACACCCTCCCCACCCCCAACAAAACAAGAATCCCACATCTCTAAGGAGTCCTTAGTAATAATAATAGGAATAATAAAGTACATCTGGGCTGGTGCCTTGTGCTGCATTTCTCAGCTGGCACTCATTCAGAACTGTCACATTAGGCTGTGTGCTGATAATTCATATCCCAGAGTCCTTTTATCTGAACAGAGCAATGTCTCCACTATGTACTTTTGGCAAAGGAGATGCACTGCTTTTCAAATATCTTTAAAAAGCAATAGAGGCTTTTCTTTGCATCTTGACAAACTGCTGCTAATCATGAAGAAAGAGTAAACCTGTTTGTGCTATTGTAGTAGCTGTAAGTACTTGCAGTTAAGTCAGCTTTCAGCACAGAGGTGATTACTGCCTGATTCAGAGAAGAAGATATGTTTGGGTTATTTATTTGCATGCATATGTAGATGTTTATATAGACACTGATTTGGGGGTCTGATACAGTTCTGGCTTCTTGCTTCTTTCTCCAATTAAAAAAAGCAAACTACAATCAAATAAAGCATTTGTTTATTCAATGAATGATAGGGAAA